CCCTGTGCTCGATACGCCCACCGGACCTGTTTGGGGTCCAGAGCTTTACGCTATGGCAACAGACTCTTCCTAAAGGGAAGGCATTTCTTCTCAAGAATAAAAATAGTACATTGAACATGGCGTTCTTCTAAAAGCTTCAAATGATGGGGGTACATTTATTTATGCTTTCCTAACAACCCCTTCATATTGTAAAATCAGGTATTATTTCCAAATTTTTGTGCAGGAAAACTATGGTGCTCAGGGGTGGTGGAGGACTCACGATCGGGGGCACAGCCGAACTAAGGCGCGAGTCCCCCACCGCCAGGCCTATGCCCCCCTCCCCCCCCCGCACCTCCCAACCCCAGGCCATCAGGAAGCCGGAGAGGCAGGAAGCAGAGTGCAGACTCCACGGCCAGATGGTCCAGGCCTCGGCTCTGCTGCGAGGAGCTCTTTGGACAGGAAGAGTTATTTAGCCTCTCTTGGGCCCAGTTTGTTCTGGTTTTCAAATGTGCAAAGCTTCCAGCTCAGTGCCTGGAACAGAAGCAGTCCTCAGGAACTAGTACTTTCCCTTTGCTTTCCAAATACTCGGTTCTCTGCCTCCCCCTCCCCCTCTCCAGGTGGATGCCCAATTTAGGCATTTCACGTTTAAAGGGTCCCCCACCAAAATCTTCCTTGCGCAGCCGTCGTGCAGTCTGCGTGGCGGCTTACGCAGCCTGCACTCTGCTCTCTCTCGCCCCCACATCCAACCAGCAGAACATCTTGATGCCTCCCCCTCCCAGACGTACCCCTACTACGACGAGGTCTTCACCTGTGCTGCTGCACCCGGGTCCCGGGGCTGCCCCGTCTCGGAAATGGTCTCCTTGCTTCCTCTTATGCTCAGATGGGCAGCCAGGATGACCCATTAAAAACATCAAACAGGTCCCATCACTCCTGCTCAAAGCTGCACAATGGCTTTCCCTCAGCACTGAAGGGACAGGCACAATCCTCCCTCTGCCTGACAAAGGAGGCCTCCCTGATCTGACCCATCAGCCTGCCATCCTTCCTGAGCCCCCTCCATCCTATTGCTCAAACCTGCCAGGCCACAAGGCTCCCAAAACTTCACATTTGCTGTTCCTTATGCCTAGGACACTATTCCACTTTCCTCTAGGCACCCTGGCATGCCTGTTCTCTCAACTTCTTCAGGTTTCTGCTTACATGTCACCTTTTTCTTTTCTTTTAGAGAAAGAGAGGGGGGGGGGAGATAGAAGGAGAGAGAGAGAGAGAGAGAGCACTCAAGTGTGAATGGGGGTGGAGGGCAGAGGGAGAGAATCTTAAGTGGACTCCACGTTGAGCATAGAAAATGATGCAGGGCTCAATCGCATAACCCTAAGATCATGACCTGAGCTGAAACCAAGAGTCGGACCCAACCGACTGAGCCACCCAGGCGCCCTACATGTCACCTTTTTTGTAAGAGCTTCCATTACCACCGTAAAACAATGCGTGTGCCCATAGAGACATTCCTCATCTGCTTTCACCAATTTCCTCCAGAGCAAGCACTAATCACCATCGAATGTGTTATATATTTCACTTGTTTACTGTCAGTCTTCTCCCTACTCAAATACACACTTGCCAGAGTAGGGGCTGAGTTTCTCTTATTCTTGCAACATTCCCAACAGTCAGGAAACAGTTTGGCCCCTACGAAGCTCAGTTCCATGACTGAATGGGCGGCTCCTTACTCTCGCCATCCGTGGCACTCCAATTCCTTTTGCTGAGAATCAGTGGATCTGAAAATTCGCCAACAGTTGCACATGGTGATAAGGGTGCAGACTGCTGACGTGGGGAGGGAGGCACCTGCCATTTAGGGGAAGTCAAGGCTCCAGGGGCACGTGGACATCCCCAAGAGGCACACAAAGTTGTCCATGGCAGAGGTGGGGGGGGGGGGCTCCGAAGCCCTTACTAAAAGGCTTCTTACTAGAGTCTCCATGTAAGGGATTTAGAGGGGATCTCAAAGCACTATTAAGGAGTCAAGCATATGGGATCTGAACACAAGAGCCCCAGATAACTAGCTGTTGTAAAACAGAGAAACATGAACAAGGCCAAAAACTGCACTGGGGTCACTCAAAATGTTTACAGTGAAGGATGCCAACTGCAATTGCCTTTATGAGAGAGGAAACTCTCCCTTTTGGATCAGAGCTTTCTAAATTCGTGGGTCTGTGCTCAGGTGCTTTCTTCCTCTTCCTGTTCCACAACCTGGCTGCTAATCGTTCCAGTTTAGAAAAAAAAAAAATTACAATACAATAACAAAAAACCCCTAAAAAACCAACCCTGTCCAAAAGAGTGCCATATGGAGAAGAGAAGAGCTTACTTATCTTCCTTTCACCTCCGTATTTTCCCAGAAAAGTTAAGAGTGGGCATGGGAAAACCTCAGATGTTTTTACACTCCTTTGCTGGTGGTAAGATAAAAATATAAGGCAGCCTGCCTTGTTTGTGAGCTCCTTGAAGGCAAGTGCTGTGTTCTGGACAGTTTCAGGTAACAGTAGCATCTAATACATTCTTCTGCACAGCAGGGGCCTAACAAGTGCTAGAAATAAACCAACACGAGCACGAACAAATAAAACGCAGCCCATTAACTCAGTTCCTTGCATTCAAGTGCTCCCATCCCTGTCCCGACCTTGGCCCATATACTCTGCTCTGCCCCAGGATCCCAATCCTTGGGCCAGCAAGCACCTTGGGAGCCTCCCCTTCCACAGATGATATGGGGGATTTAACACCACGATTATACTATTGTTGTTATTGGCTTCAGAACCCCACCAGCACTCCGGCAGGTCCTAGCTGGGACAGAATAAATGGGATTTCCCAGCTACAACACTACAATTAGTGACCAACTGTTCCAGGGAGTTTGCTGGGTTACACTTCTCCAAGAGAGACTTGTAGCTTTAAATGCATATTGCAGGTTGCGTTTCTGGGGAAAAGGACTCTGATATGGAAGTCAGCGTGCAAGAGGTTAATTTAGGGAGTGGTCTTGGGAAAGGCATCTGAAAAGGGAAGGTGAGAGGACAGGCAGAGGGAGAAATCCAGCTGTGACTGGGTTGTCACAGCAGACCCTGCAAGATTCCACATTCCCCAGGAAGGCCCCGTGGCCAGAGGCATGTGACTCTTCACCTGTGGCCCTACCCCAAGGGGCTGATGGCTGGGGGCCATCTGCAGGGCTGCACTCCCAGGAACTGGAGTCAAAGTCCTTTACTCCAAAAGGGGAATGTGGGCACTCACCGCACACAGCCACTTCGCCTCTCCAGCAAGTCAGAGCACGATGACCACCTCCCCTGTGATGCCCTCCCAGCTGCCTTCTCCGATCCCCTCCAGGAGAGGTGGTAACTCTCATTCTTGCTCATCTCTTTATTTCCAGAGCCCAGCATACCAGCGACACCCAGTAGAGATGCAATAAACGTCTGCTGAATAAACACATCACTGAATACTGGACATAAGTGTGAAAATGTGAATGTCACAGAATTATTTTTTAAAAACTGTTGCCCAGCGGTGCCTGGGTGGCTCAGTCAGTTAAGCGTTTGACTCCTGACTTCGGCTCAGGTCATGATCTCAAGGTCATGGGATCGAGCCCCACGTCGGGCTCTGTGCTGGGCATGGAATCTGCCTGGGATTCTCGCTCTCCCTCTGCCCCTCCCCGCAATTAAAAAAAGAGAAAACAAAAAACCTGTCCCCAAGGAGTTCAATGCAGTCAGAAAAACAAGCAGAAATGATGGGGGAACTTGAGAAGAGATGCACACAGAAGCATATGTATGTGCATTCTGGTCTCAACTCTGGTCTCAACCCTGCATGCCTTCAAGCTTCAATTTTCTTGTGACTTGAAAAGGACAGATCCCAACATTCTATGAAGAAGAGACCAGAGCTGAGACACACTCAGTTTCAACATCTTTGTTGAATGACGTCTTTCTTAGTGTCATTCCTGACACGGGTAAGGAAAGTAAGTCTTGATCCTGACAAAGGAAAGAGCCTGAGTGTCAGAGTGTCTCCCCATGATACACTGAGGACTTTTTTTCCAATTAGCCTAGAGTAAGAGTCCCCTCCCACCTCCCACCCCGCTAAAAGAAGCAGGCAGAGACTGCAGTAGGTGAGGAATTTACTCTTCTGTCCATGAATGGAAACAGACACCAACTGGAATATCCTGTGATTTATGAAAATGCGGTGATTTTAGATCACTGAGTAGTATTTCACCTTCATAGGATAAGGAGCTACAGAGAAGCAGGAGGAGAGATTTTAAACACGGAAGCCAGAATGCAATTTTAAAAAGAAAACTAAGAAATAAAGAAAAAAAACTCACTCCCAAATTTATCTCTCATTGCATTTGTCTAATATAGAGAAGAACTTGTAAGAATGCAATTTTAAGGAAGACATCTGGAAGGGGGATTAAAATAAAAGCCCAAGATTTGTGCTAACTTGTCACTTCTCCCATGCATCCATGCCAGAGTCAAGTAACACCTACTGGGCTCACAATTCCCCACCACATAACCTCATACACCTTGAGGCAGTGACAAGAACTACAGTGATGGCTAAGAAAAAACTAACCAGACAAGAAGGAATGTCTTATAAAGTCAAACTTATATACCTCCTTAAAGTGATAAACCACAACATTAATGAAAGCAAAAGCCGTAAGAACATTTTCCAACACTATAATCAATACCCATCTCCACCAACTCAAAGGCCTTTCTCAGCAATCAAAGCATCATTTGATTAAAAAAAAAAACCCAAAACTGATAAATGCAGGTAAGTCAACACTCAATTACTTGCATACAAAATATACACATCTGACATTTATCTCTTACAAAGCATCCTAAATTGGGTTCTTCCTATAAACACCAACATGACCTCTTCATTTACTAAAGAAACACAAACCAATTCCAGTTTGATTAGAACATGCTTCAAATGCCAGTAGAGTTGATACTTAACTAGATTTGTAACTCCTTGTCCATTTCATCAGCATGACCTCATTAAATGCGGGCCTCACATTAAAAAAAAAAATACAATCACTCTTCTTGGCATGACAACACCTTCAAAAATACCAGGAAAATGTGGCTACAATTACCTTTGAATTTGTGGAACACGGCCCATAGCTCTGCAATGTCGGTCGCAAAGGTGATATCTGTGTCAAGGACAATGACCCTCTCCAGGTTGGCAGGAAGAGTCTTGGTCAGGACGAGCTTCATCAGACCATAAATGCCAGAGTAGTGTTTGTTGGGGATCCAGGACACTTCAGACTACACCAGGCAGGGAAGAGGAGTAGAAAAAAGGAAAAAAAAAAAAAAAAAGAATTATTACATTCATTTTTTTTGCATAAACATTATAAACAGTGCCTGGAACATAAAAAAGCATTCAATAAAAATTTGCTGAGTAAATGAATATTTTCTTAAAGATTTGTTTATGTAATTTATGGTTTGGCATGTGAAGTTTATTGGAAGAAAATGCATCTGAATCACAGGACAGGAAAAGCAGTATTTATGAAATAACTATTATTTGCAAACGCTATGCTCAGATTTTTTTAAATAAAATTTTTCTTATAGAAATTATATAGGCTCACTGGAGAAAGGAAGACTATGTTACAAAAGAATAAAAGTATAAAAATTGGATCATACTCCATTATTTTTTTTTTTTTGCAAACAGTATCGAATTGTTCCAAGGTAGATCTGTTTCTTTCAATCATATTCTGTTTGTCATTAAAGATTGCTACCTTAGTGGCCTCGTTCAAGCTTATGCTCATCTATTTCTTTTTCTTTTTTTTTTTTTTTTTTAGCTGTAATTGAAGCAATTAGTGTTGCTCTGTCTCCTGGTTCTCAAGCACACAAAAAGGACTTGGTCAGAAGCTACGCAACACTCTTCCCTGGGGAACAAGAGAAGACACACCCACAGACAGTAATGAGCAGCCTACGGAGAGTCAGCACTGAAATCCACGATGTAGTAGGACAACAAAGGTCCCACAAGTGGGTACATCTGTCAGCAAGTCACACATCTCGGTACCCCTTGGTACCCAAAGGCAAGGCTGAAAATAATACATAATACTAGGGTGCTGAAAGCTCTCAGAGGAACAGGTCATGTACGAAAGTAACCACGGGTACGGACTCCATCCTGGCTGCCCCAGAGAGCTGCCATCCATCCAAGCCAAAGCACACTTATTTTCAAGAAGTTGACACTGATAACGGAACCCTTCAGCGGAAAATGTGGCCGCCTTGTTGAGATTCCAAAAAACGTTCACCGCTTTTGTCCTTATAATTCCATTCTGGGGACATGGTTCTAAACAAAGTCACATTTAAAAACAGGAAAGCAGTTTTATTCCCAGAGATGTTCATCACCATGTTATAAACAAAACAATCCAAATGCCCCGAAACTGGACAGTTAATTAAAACATGCTTTTTTAAATCCGATAGCATGAGCAATCTAGAGCTATAAGCAATCTAGATTAGGATGCACAAAAAAAAAAAAAAAATCTCGCACGTGACGTTAAAAGAAAAAAGGTAAGTTCTAAAATTTCTTTTGCTTAATAACCTCTACGTACAATCAAACAACACGAAAACACATCCGTCCAAATTTCATGCTGAGAAAGAAGAAACGGAAGCATGGAATCATAATACTAATAGTGGTCATTTGGGGACGATGGGTCCCTCCTCTAGATAAATAGATATGTATACACCCACACACCACACATATGTATTTTATCGTACTTTTAACTTTTTAAAATGAGCAACTACTATCATTGTAAAGAAAAACTAAGCACTACATTCTTTTTAAACACACCAATATTGGTGATGGCGGGAAAACAGGGACACAGACACTGCCTTAGGAAAGCTATGACAAAGGACGCCTGTGGTAACTCACACGATCCAGCCCGTCCCTCAAATCCACTCCATCTTCTGTGTTCGTCTTCAGTTTATTGAAGATGAAATGGTATTTATTTGAAAATACCATGTCAGCTACTCCTTATCCTCTCAATACGTCAATACATGTGCAACTTTGACTGGTGTGGGGGGAGAAAAAACATAAACCGGTGGACAAAACTGTTCATCACATGTCAGTCTCAGGGAAGAACCTTGAACTCTGTCTGTTGTCCTCATTACCGTGTTCCTGGGCAGCAAGGAGGAAGGAAAGCAGAGACAAAAGCCAAAATCTGAACCCCAGCCCCATACAAGGCATTGGTCTCTCTAAGCCCCCGTTTCTTTCCCTATAAAAAGGAGACGATGCTTCCATTGCATGGCTTGTGGAAAAATCAAAGGAGATGGAAGGACGCGAGGGTTCGGCCCACAGAAGCTCCCACCCTTCTCCTGACTCCCCCTCAGTGTGTTAAGTGTTTGCTTCATACTGAAGGGGGTGTGGCACAGTGTTAAACCTTGGGTTCTGGAGTCAGGCAGAGGTGGATTCAGATTCCGGGGTCACTTAATGGCTGCGTCACCTTGGACAAGTTCACCCGGACTTTCTGAGTTTCTGTCGTCTATGAAAGGCAGTTACTTGTACTATGTGTTGTATGTATCAGTCGGGGGTGGGTGGAAACAGCACACTCAAAGTGGGTGATCCGAGGAAAATGGGATAATAAAAGAACTATTGACTGAAACGGATGCATAATTTAGGGCCAGCAGCAAGGAACCGTGTTGCACCTGGGAAGACATATGAATAAACCACGAGGCAGGAGCCGTGAACTTCGGTGGAGGGCCACAGCCAACTTGTGGCAATTTCACGGGCCAGAGCAGGGAGAGGCCTCTCACTCAGCCTCTCTCCCCTCCTGCCCACCCCTCTCCCGCTGGAGCGCCCCTCCGTACAAACCCAACTGGATGCAGAGGGAACGTGATCTCAACCTGTCACCAAACTGAACGAATGATGGCAAAACCACAGCTCAAGGCCTTCTGCTGAACTGATGCACCATGCTATCTGAGAGGTGGGCGGGTGGGCGAACGGAAGGATGGACAGGTGGGTAGATGGGCAAATGGCACAGGAAGGTGAGTGATCTGTCTACAACCCCTCAGTGGGTAAGATGCAAAGCGATAGTCAGAATCGGCCAAGGGAAGGTTTGCCTTCCTTCCCCAAGCCACATCATCCTTCCTTTCGAGCTAGCATCCTGACTCGCCATCAGCTTAGATCTGAGGGCTGGGGGCTCCTCGAGTTAAGGGCCTCCAGTGGGCTTTAAAAAACTCTTCCCTCATGAAAGCTCCAGCCTTTGGAACTCGGCTCAGCTGCTCCTCTCCCCTGAGGATGTGCCTGAACTGAAGCTTGGCAATCATAGGTCCACGCGGCAGAGCTGTGCTATTTAATCAGACCTTTGATTAACTTATTCATCTATTTTGGTTACCATCAAAGCAGGAGAGCTTGGTGAAGACTGAACACCAGAGCGTTGGGTTGAGCCATCTAATTAGATTGCCCTGACTCTCAGATTTATTTTTAACACACATGTGAGGGACTCAGATGCATCACCGAACAGTAGGACGACAGGAATAAATTAATCTCAACATGAGCCCAGGCCGGAATGTCGCCCCAAGTCCCCGACTTAATACATAATCAATTAAGTCAGAGTGTTCAATTAGAGGTAAAGGAAGCATTCGGATGAGTTTGTATTCAGAGAGAAAACCCCAGAAAGAAAACCGAGGAAACTATGGGGGTAAAGAACGTATGGTAAGAAGCAGATACATTTATTATAAATGGCCCTCTCTCTTAGAAGTACAATATAATGTGTCCCCCACCTCTGCCTTAGTCTAATCCTGCTCTTCTTTCGAGCCTCAGCTTAGAAGACACCCCCCCGCCCCCCGTCACCACCTCCCCGGGGCCCCAGGCTGGGCAGGGGCTCCCTGAGCAAGCTGCCTCCCTTCCTCTAGCACAGCACGCTCTCATGCTGTGTCTAATTTTCCATGTCTCTCGCCAGCTCTGGGCTGGAACTCCCTGAAGCAGTGACGATGTCATTTTTGCTGTAGTAACAACATAGTCATTACTCAAAACATGTTTGATGAACGTGTATGACTGCAGAGCTGACCAGGCCTGGGTTTAAATCCTACCTTTGACGTTTTCTGCAACCAGCAGCAGAAACATCCCTAACTGCTGTAGCCCAGGGTCGGTCTGGTGCAACGGGAGAGGCGTGCCTTGTCGAGCCCCAACGCCTACGCTTTAGCACCAGTTCCATCATTTTGCCTCTATGAGGCTTTGTTTTCTCATCTGCAAAATGGGGGCTTGGAACACTCACTTTGCAATACTACTGGGAGAATGGCAAAGCATCCAGCCTGATGCTGGGCGCCCAGCTGGCCTCTGCAAAGGCCACTTGACTTCTCTCAGTGAAGGTCTGTCAGCACTATGCAGGCTCAGATGATTCGGGATGTTGAGTCTGATAAGAGCAGGAAATGATGCTACCTTTGATAGTAAAGGGGAAGATGGTTTTGTCGGAGGAAAAGAAGTCGCTCGTCACCTCTCCCTATACTCCTAGATTATTTTTTTAAGATTTTTATTTTATTTATTTATTTGAGAGACAGAGAGACAGAGATAGAGGAGGGGCAGATGGAGAGGGACAAGCAGACTGAGTGTGGGGTCTGAGTGGGGACTCGATCCCATGACCCCAAGACCTTGACCTGAGCCAAAATCAAGAGTCGGATGCTCAACCAACTGAGCCACCCAGGTGTCACAGAATTTTTTTTTTTTTAACGATTATTTACTTATTTTAGAGAAAGAAAGGGAGGAAGGGAGGGAGGGAGAGGGAGAGAGACTCTTAAGCAGACTCCCCGCTGACACGAAGCTCGACGTGGGGCTCAATCTCATGGCTCTGAGGTCATGACCTGAGCTGAAACCGAGTCAGGGCTTAACCAACTGCACCACCCAGGTGTTCCTCCTACATAGATTAACAAAATCACAAACTGAGATCTTGGAAACTCAAAGCCTCCTCTGGTAGATCTCCACGTTGGACTGTATACCTTTGGTTTTGGGAAGAAAAACCGACTAACACAAAGGAGCGTAAGCAATCCCAGGTTTTAAGGGTTTCTTTGCAGAGTAGGGAGCAGGGGATGCTCCCAAGGGAAAAGTCATCTTCCCCAAACTGCCAGTTCCTTGGCAGACAGACCCCAAGGGGAGTTTCTATGAAGTGCTGCAGGAGATTTTAGGGTTCAACTGATGCTGGGTGGTCCACAGAGAAGTTACTCAGAATACCTGGCCAGGGTAGTAACATGAGCATGGAAGGGTGTGAAGGAAGGTGATGTCTCAACATTATGCCAGGTTTCCCACCTCTAGTAGACAAGGCAAA